GTGAGCGCCCGAGCCGGACGGGAAGGTGTAGTCCGGGGGTTGGGCCCGTTCGGGGGACACCAGTGGGCTCGTTTCGTCCATCCCTCAGGCCGCCGGCTCCGGGTCCCGGTACGCTCCACAGCTGAGCTCGGGCCCGGGACCAATCCGCGAAACCCCCAACCCCCGACTGGCCAACCAGGTCGCGGCGCCTCGCTGGCCCCGCCCCTACCCAGCCTGTTTACTTGGCGACGAGTCGGCACGACCCCTCGCGCGCGAACGATAACCAATCAGAACCAGCGTGTACGTAATCGCGCCCTCCGCATTTTTCGCCCGTCACCGTCTGTGAAGACTGCGCATGTTCCAAGAGCCAAACCTGGGTCAGACACGCCCCCTGCTCTTACCAGCCCAGCCCCTCCCGTAGCTTCCAATTGCTGACCTGTCTGTGGGAGCTTTCAGTAAAGTAGCCTACCTAATCAGTCAGTCATTTGTTGAGTGCCTATTATGAACCAACCAGCTATGAAACTGGAGAAATCTAATCTTTGTATCTACATTCATGCAATCATGCACTCATTCATAAAATATTTATTGAGCACCTACTATGTTCTAAGCGCTAGAGAGACAAAAATGAAGCAAAGAAACAAAATCCCTATCTACCTAAATAAAAAGGGTTTTAAAAAATCACAGGCCCAGTGCAATTTAGAGAGTCTGGCCTGGATGCTCTATGCTTCTTTGTTAATTGAAGAAAGATATGGTCTTATGTGGGGCACCTGGGTGGCTCAGTCATTAAATGTCTGCCTTTGGCTCAGGTCATGATCTCAGGGTCCTGGGATCGAGCCCCACATCGGGTTCCTTGCTCAGCGGGAAGCCTGCTTCTCCCTCTCCCACTCCCCCTGCTTGTGTTCCTGCCCTCACTGTGTCTCTCTCTGTCAAATAAATAAATAAAATCTTTAAAAAAGATATGGTCTTATAAGACTAGAAAGTTCCATGAGGTAAGAGTACAGGACTGTTTTATTCACCACTGTAAAACCCTGGTGTCTAGACATGATAGGGACTCTGTATATTTTTTATTAGTGGAAAAGAGAAGGAAGAACTGTCCTTGCCCTCAAGAGGAAGACATATAGCTCTCTGAGGCGGCAGGAGAAAAGGAGCCATCAATGAAAACTGAAAACTCAGAATTTCAGCAATTTGGGGGTAGGCTAGAAAGTCAGCAAAGGCCTTAAAGGGGGCATGTGCTATGAGCTAAGTCTTAAAGAAAGAATGTAATTAGATTACTGGGGGGGAAAGGGAGAAAAGAGGGAATCAGAATCATTTGAGTTTGAACCCCATCTCTACACTTTAGCCTCTGTTTTCTCACCTGTAAAATGGGAATTATCATCCCTTCTTCAATTAAATAAGAATTAAGATAATGTCTGTAGAACACTGACATAGTGCTTGGTACATAATTATCCCTCCCTTAAATAAGAATCAAGATAATGTATGTAAAACAGCACAATGGTTAGTACACTCAACAAATGGTACCACCTTTTTTTATCGTTAATGTTGTTTTTGTTTTTGTGCTTAAAATCACCAAGATTAGAGCCCTGGGTTTTCACAAGAGATAATCAGCCATATTGTAACCAATATTTCATAATCATTCTTTCTTGAATCAAATTATTGTCACAGTACTAGAAGTACTAGAAATACTGAACTGAACTGAATTGAACTGAAACAACTATTGTTGGGGCGCCTGGGTGGCTCAGTCGTTAAGCGCCTGCCTTCGGCTCAGGTCATGATCCCAGGCTCCTGGGATCAAGCCCCACATCAGGCTCCCTGCTCAGTGGGAAGCCTGCTTCTCGCTCTCCCACTCCCCCTGCTTGTGGCGAGCCCTCTCTCACTGTGTCTCTGTCAAATAAATAAATAAAATCTTTAAAAAAAAAAAAAAAGAAAGAAACAACTATTGTTTAATTGTATGTGTGAGAATGTCTTAAACATTTTTTGCCACATAAACCATCTTAGGCAAAGATCCATACAGTTTCCTCTTTCAGTTAGAAGACATGTATTTCCCTTTCTTATCCAGACATCGAATAATTCAGTAATACTTGCCTCTTGCATCCCAGGGATCACATCTACAGAGATGATCTCTTGGAATTATTCGTCTCATTTAGCCCATAAGCTTCAAATTTTTGTGGAAAATTCTCAAAATTTATTTTTGATTCTACCCCTTAGAACTTGATTTTCCTTCTACTGAAAAAAAAGTGTCAATACATTCCCTATTACCTATGAAGAGCTAGCACTCACCAAATAACTAAGCACGTGCCAGACATTGTTTCATGTAAAGTACATGGATATAACTGGATTACATGTAAATGGCATTACAGCTCTTATGATGTTGGAAACTGAGTAAAGTAACTTGCCTATGGTCATGCAGCTGGTAAGTGGCAGAGCTGGATCCAAATCCAGGGAGACCAGCTCAATGCTTTTAACACTATATTGCCTCTTATTAAATATCTCTATGAGATGTGTTTTATATGTGATGTGGGAAGCAAAGGCAAAAGAAAAATTAAATTTCCTTACTACTTACAGCCCACTGACAAGTCCTTAAAACAGGCAGAGTGGCATTCCTCTAGGAACTCAGCTATCCTGACGTTAATATTTTGCTAAGGGCAAAAGGCTTAGCTTAACATTATCCCAACAATGCCTCCTGCCCCCCCGCCATCCTATAAGTCTACTTTAACATATAAACATTCCTTTAGAAACTTCCTTTATATCTACCCCCCAAGATATCAGTTGGCAATCATCCCCCAAGCATATGACCTACCAATATACATCTGAAGGGTCTCATGACTAAGATTTTATTAGACAGTAATAAATGACCTTTTCCTAACAATAGCTAACCCCCTCGAAGTCTTGGAAACCTTGCTTCCATAATTCCTTAGAGACTTACGCTATCCCTAGCCCCCTCCCAACTTGAAAGTATATAACCAGCCATTCCTCATGACCCCGGTGCAGCTCTTTCTGCCCACAGGTCCTGTCCCTGTGCTCTGTCCCCGTGCTTTAATAAAACCACCTTTTTGCACTGAGTATATCTCAGAAATTCTTTCTTGGCCATTGCCTCTGAACCCCAACATCTTTCCTAAATCAGCATGTACCCCCTTTCTTTCCATTTTTACTGATGCCATTTACTTTTGAGACTCTCAATATATCTTAGCTACGTTATTAAAATAGCTTGTGAGGGTGCCTGGGTGGCTCAGTTGGTTGAGCGACTGCCTTCGGCTCAGGTCATGATCCTGGAGTCCCGGGGATGGAGTCCCGCATCAGGCTCCCTGCTCCGCAGGGAGCCTGCTTCTCCCTCTGACCCTCCCCCCTCTCATGTGCTCTCTGTCTCTCTCATTCTCTCTGTCTCAGACAAATAAATAAAATCTTAAAAAATAAATAAATAAAATAGCTTGTGAGTTTGTTTCTCTGCTTCCAATCTCTCTGGTTATCTCTGAGCATCACTACCAGATTAATTTTCTTAAAACACTGGTTTCCTGGTGTCACTGCTCTGATTAAGAAACTACATTTTTTATTGCAGTAAAATATGCATATTTATAATTTTAACCATTCCCAAGTGTACAGGTCAGTAACATTAAATACATTCACAATGTTGCATAACCATCACCACTGCCTATACCCAAAACATTTTAATCATCCCAACAAAAACTCTGTATCCATTAAACAATAACTCCCTCTTTCTCTAGCTCCTGGTAACTTCAACTTTCTGTGTCTATGAATTTGCCCATTCAAAACACTACATTTTGCAAACCATATCTTCCCCTAATTTTTCAGGTTTCTCCATAACTTAACCACAATCTATTTAACCTTATTTCATCAAATTTTCTAATATACTTTCTCTAATCTAATAAGATCTGTTTTCTTGACATGCCATTCTCTCAACAACTGTATTTATATTTATAGTCACTACCACATAGTTTAGCAGGCTTAACCATTGAGTGTTAGAGCTGGTTGAATCTTACAGGTTTGCTAGTCCAATCTCATTTTATAGGCTGGAGAACTTAATAACTTGCTTGAAGTCACACACACTTGGTGGCAGACATGGGATTTGAACACAGAATCCAAGTCTTTTAAAACCATGTAAACTGCTGTTTATGGAGCACTTACAATGTCACAGACACAGTACTGAGCATTTTACACTGTATTCTCATACAAGTGCTGGGGAGTCTTTATCATTATTATTATTTTCATTTTCTATTCCACAGATGAGGAAACGCCCAAATCAGGGAAGCAGTTTGTTTACTCTCTTCATGCACTTGCCTTCTTTTAATAATTAAATATAGTCTTGAATTTTTCCATGGGCATGAATCTTTTCTTCTCCACATGTAGGCAGTAAGTCCCATGAGGGCAGCGATCACGTCTTTTCTAGCTGCATTCACAGTGGTCAGTAAATAAACATGTGGATAAAAGGATTGGCGTGCACGATATTTGGAGAATTTGCTCCAATCTTGACACTGTATTTTAAACACAAAAGATCTGAGTAATGACAACAACGCAAATCCTTACAATGAGTGAATGCGGAAGTGTCCTGGTATCACAGTGCTGGCACGGGGCCGACACACATTAAACCGCAGCTGCCTGGTCCAGCATGTTACAATTCACAAAGCTGAAACTCAAAAGCCAGGTTTGGGTTCTGTCCTCAAACTCCAGGGAGGAGCCATTTACATCTCTGAAGGTCCGCGCAGGATCCGAGCCGCTTGAATTGGTGGTCACTGTTGTTTCTGACCCAGGTTCTGTTTTGTTTTTGTCGACGTTTAGGCTAGGCTGTCTCTGGGTAGACGAGACCTAAGGTCTCTCTCCATCAGGTGGCGGAGGTAGGACCGTGGGTTCAGCCCCACCCCTCTCTCGGATGTTTGACCCGAGCTCTTGAGACACTCCGCCCCGCACAAAGATGGCGCAGAGTCCGCGCTGGGCCAATGGAAAGTGGCGTTGCTCCCGGTTGCCTAGGTTACAGCCAATGGGCAGCGGGAATTGCGCCCAGTGCGGCCGCCCGGGATGGCGGCGTCAAGTGGGGCAGGCGCTGGTGGAGGTGTTGGGAGAGGCTGGTGGCAGGGGCGAGCCCGGCGGAGGCGCCGTCCCGGCCGCTGGAACCCCGCGTCTGGGCGTGATTGTCATCCCGAAAGGCGGAGCTCAGGTTGGCCGGCAGCGCAGGAGGGAGGGGGCCAGGAGAGTGTGGTTGGTGAGGAAGGGACTGAGGAGCCCATCCCGAGATGACTGGCTGGGATCGTGACTCCATCCAGGACGCGCTGACCGGAGGGCGGGGCCGGTGGGGTGCCGAACCCGGGCCTCCGGTCTCTACCGCTGGGGCCGAGGCCACGGAGAGCCCACGGTACCCGGCTTGGCGAGCGGGTGGGTGGGGGCTGCGTCCGGAGGGGATGGCAGACCAGTGTGAGCAGAGACCTGGCCCAGGCGGTAGAGCGGAGCTCGGGTAGAGGGAAAGATCGGTGCTGGGATGCAAGAACGGGGTGGGAGATGGACTAGGAAATGTTAGTTGGGTCTAGGGCTTTGTTTGGCCTGGGCCCGCCTCTCACACTCTGGCGGAGAGACGTCCCACACAATGAGGCTTGGGGAATGGGATGCCTCAATTAGTGGATGGTGGCACGCTGCTGGGTAGCATCTCCAAACTGCTTAGGTATCCGCAGGAATAGCTCGGCTTTATTAGAACTCGGTCCAGGCATTTCCTTTTTCATGAAATAGGATGGCAGTCCTCATCACCCTCAAGTCTTTTTTTTTTTTAATCTTTCTGGTGTCAGGATTTTCTTCCCAATTTCTTCAATCTGTCCCAGTCTTCCTAAATAAGACCAGTCTTCCTAAATAAGACCTTTATCTGGTAGCAAAACATTTTTTTTTTTTTTTTTACTTTTCGAGTTCAAGGAAGACTTATAGTAAAAAGACTTGTAGACTTATAAGAAAAACAGTTATTTCAAGCTCATTTAAAACACTTTAAAAGGAATGTGTGACTTTTTGTTCTAGGTTTCTTACAAGCCTAATTTTTGTTCACCAAAGTCTTCCTTTTCTTCTCTTTAGGATTCTAAAAGCCTAAGACTGCTTTCTTTATAATTAAGAGAACTTTGACAAGACGGTCATACTCTGGGGAGGCTTTGGAGGAACAATGTAAAGGTATATGTAGGGAAAGCTGGCTGCCTCAAAGCAATATTCTTAAAGTGAAAATCTGTCCCTCTTTACGTTAGCTTTTTTGTTGTTGTTGTTTTTAATCTGAATTTGAACAGAAGACATCTTGAATGCATAAATATTTTGTAGCAACTTTGATTTCTAAACTCTAAAAAAAGACAAATGGAATGGAAACAGAAGTTAACATTCCTGTCTCCAAGTTCTATTTGGAAATGTCTGGGTGAGGAGAAAATAAAGATGGCAGGGATGTAGTCTGTTGCGCAGACCAATAGTATATTCGGTTCAGGGACAAAAGTCATTTTCTTTTAGATAAATGTTTGGATTGATCATTTGCAACCCATCTATCAAAAGAGCAGAAAGGGTGGGTACCTGTTTAAAAGCCTGCATCTTCTTGGTTTTGTGACTAGATTCCATATGTATGCTGAAGCCTAAATTCCTAGGCTACGTGTTCTCTTTAAGAAGATTTTTTGGGTAACTGATATAAATACTGATTTGCGTCCTTCTTAAAGTGTTGGGTTTTCAGTCTTCATCAGCGCCGGCTATCCTGTATCAAACTAGATTTGTCTCAGTGACCATGATTTCTTTTGGGGTCAGTGGCTGTACGGCTGACAATTACTTAGCATGGCTAATTATAGAAGTCATAAACGAAAATCACTGTCCCAGGCGATGACAGTGTCAGTTATTTGGACATAGGTACAAGTTTCTAGTCAAATGTGTTCAACCATGGCCTGAGACCCATAGAGTCCACGTGTGTCCTTTAGTTAGCACTTCCGGTTGTGTTCTTGGGAATGGACATCATGTTGACCAGCAGCTGTTGAAGGGAGTTTGCTCTGTCTCCCGAGATAAAGAAAGGAATGGAAATGTACTTTTGGAAAAACAAATGAGAGAGGAGGTGGCAGGGTTAGGTGGAGAGATGATGTTCCAGTTACTATAGCTGTATAACATTATACCCCAACCTTAGCTGCTTAAAACAACCGAGTGATGCTCACAGATTCTGTGAATCAGGAATTTGTAAAGGGCATCATGGGGATGACCTCGCTCTGCTCCATGCTACCTTAGATGGGATGCCGACTCAGTGGCTGGGAGCTAGAATCATCTGCAGGCTCCTTTGCTCACAGCTGGTGCCTGGGGTAGGCTGATTCAAAGATGAGAATTGCCAACTGGAGCACCAACACATGTGTCTCTTTGTGGCTCAGCTTCCTCATAGCACGGTAGCCCCACTGTAGTAAGACTTCTTCTGTGGTGGCTCAGGTCTCCAAGTGCAAGCGTACCAGTGAGCAAGAGGGAAGATGCATCACCTTTTCTGATCTGACCTCAGAACACACCATCTCTTCCATCGTGTTCTATCGGTTGAAGCAATCACAAGCCTGCCCCGATTCAAAGAAGAGGAGTTAGACTCCACCTTTTGATGGGGCAATGGCAAGGTCAAATTATAGAACGCGTAATACCGGAGTTAAGACTGCAAATGTCTTTGGAAATTACAATCCGCCACATTTGGTAATTGGAGGATGATCTTTTCAGGTTCATTGGCATCTTTAAAAACTTTAGGATCTATTCCCTCAGAGTAACAGCATACCAAAAGAGTGGCTAGGTTTACAATTTGAGGGGCTGACTAGTACTTTGTCCAAAGATAGTCTTCAAACTGGAGAAACGCCATTCCCTTTCTTTCAGGGACCTTGTGTTGGTCCCTCTGAAACAAGTGGGATACCACTGTGTGGAAGTTTCACATAGCCTTGAGAAAAAGTAAACAGATGCTGGAGTCTGCTGCCTCTGAGCCCCTGGGCAGTCAGACTGACTCCTCACAAGGCATCACAGTAACTCCTTCCAGACCTCCGAGTGAAGACAAGTTTACAGCTGCCAGACATCAAAAGGAAATGCCCTTATCTTATCATCTCCCTGCATAAATCATGATTCTGTATTTATGTTTCGGAATGGTTGTTTAGTGATAAGATTTATTATAAGACACGGCCTTTAAGATTCTGACTTGTTTTGAAGGAATGAAATATTTCAGATTTGTTCCATAAGCTGACTTTTAGTACGCCGACTTCATTAGTTCTGGAAAGAGCTGAAGACGGCCTGTAGTTGTCAAAGCTTCTCTGGACCGGAAAAAGTTTTCCTCTGCAGTTTCGATGGAAAACTGCTTCTCTTCCCCTCATTAATGTTGTATTTGCAGTGGAGTCATGCTGACCTCTACCCCAGGCACACTGATGCTGGGCTGACAACAAGAGGCTTGAGCCTGAACTTGGATGCTGACCTTGTGGAACATTGGTGGAGCAGAGATGGCACACCAGGTACCAGCGTCACCCATCAGAGAACATAGCCCCAGAGCTTTCTAGGGGCTTTAAGACAAGAAGAAAATGATCCCTGCCTCGGGACATCTTCTGCTATGTGAGAGAGCCTGGGCATGGAGCTCCCGAGTAGCAACAGCGAGAAAATCCCTGGTGGAGCTGTGGGAGGGGCTCCCAGACATCACTGGAAGAGCTTCCCAAGCTGGCCTCATTATGGGGGTAGAAACGAATGTTGCTCCCTGTTTGGGTGAGAGCCAGGGATTCTCAGGATTCATCTGTCCTCAAAGCTGGGAGGAAACGAGAGCTTTGAGACAGGGCCAGGGCCCAGAAGATGTGATTGAGCCCTGCTCTGTTCAGGGCCAGCTGTTTGCACATCAGACCATTTCTGGGCTTACAGCATCTATATCCAAAAGCATCATGACATAGACCAAAATTAAAATATCCCATGGGATGGCCATAAAAAACAGACAAGTGGCAATTGCAGTTTACTTTTTCTCACCTTAGAATTTACCTAAGGCAAAATTGCTGAATTTTTTCCCAAATGTTATTTTAATTATATTGGTAGCATTTTTATACTGAGACTTTAGAGAAATTTCCATTACAGTAAGTGAATGTGTGAGTTGAGGTGTCTATTTTGGAAGGGGGAAAAGAATAATATTTAAGAGACAGGGCCTGGTGGTGTTCTAGGTACTTTCATGTATCTTATTTAATTTATTTTTTAAGATTTTATTTATTTAACTGACAGAACAAGTAGAGGGAGCAGCAAAGGGAGAGGGAGAAGCAGGCTTCCACTGAGCAGGGAGCCTGAAGTGGGGCTTGATCCCAGGACCCTGAGATCATGACCAGAGCCAAGGCAGACGCTTAACCGACTGAGTGATCCAGGCACCCCAGTGTATCTTATTTAATTTAATCCATGCCAATTCTCTGAAGTAGGTATATTTTCTGTACTTTACAGGGGAGGAGACCAAGGTTTAGAGGCATTTAAGTAACCTTCCCGAAGTTACACAGTGCACTGGGGTGGGAGCCCCGGTATTGGCGCTCCTGGGCCCACATGCCACTGTATTACACTGGGAGGCATGTGGGGTAGGAAGACAGGATGGGGTTTAGGAGCATGGGCCCCAGAGGCTGACCCCCAAGTCTCTGCTTCTAACTTGCACATGTTAGCTAGGGTTCCTTGGTGAACTTACTTACCCTCTCTACTCCTCAGTTCCCTCATCCATAAAGTGGAAATGATAGTACTACCCACCTCATAAAGCTGTGAGCTGAAATTAGATTATGTATTTAAAAAACACTATAGCACACAGTAAGGAGTCAATTCCTGTTAGTTGCTGTTGTAAAGATACTTCAAATAGCTTCTCTGGGGTTAGCTCAGTTGATTCCAGAGCGTTGTGTTGGCTGACCTGGAGTATAAATAACCCAGCCCCATCTACCATCACAATTTGGAGAATACAAACTAATGTACATCTTGTTTTAGTTGAACATTTAAAGCATCGTTTTAGTATCAAATGTGCCAGATCCCTCTTGTACTGAGGAACCTACTCTTTGTAAGCCCATCTTGTTGTTCCATAATGGAAACAGCAATACAACCGTTAACATTGTGTGTGATTTGGGCTTCTCTGGGACTTGAAGAAAGCTGGCTGTTGGCATCAGGCCGCAGGGATTTAAAAATCCACTCCTGTTTGGTCCTCCAGGCCTGGCCCACATGCTCTGAAGAAGAGGTGCACTTGTCCTATTGGAACTCAATCAGATGCTTGAGGGTTAGACTCTAGGTTCATTTTTTTTTTTAAGATTTTATTTATTTATTTGAAAGAGAGAGAGTGCACAAGGGAGTGGGGAGGGGCAGAGGGAGAGGGAGAGAGAGAAGCAGACTCCTGGATGAGCAGGGAGCCCTGATGCAGGGTTCCATCCCAAGACCCTGGGATCATGATCTGAGTCAAAGGCAGACGCTTAACCGACTGAGCCACCTAGGCACCCCTCTAGGTTCATTTTTTTTTTTAAGATGTTAGTTATTTGGGGCGCCTGGATGACTCAGTCGTTAAGCGTCTGCCTTCAGCTCAGGTCATGGTTCCAGGGTCCTGGGATCGAGCCCCGCGTCAGGTTCCCTACTCAGCGGGAAGCCTGCTTCTCCCTCTCCCACTCCCCCTGCTTGTGTCCCCTCTCTCGCTGTGTCTCTCTCTGTCAAATAAATAAAAAATCTTTTAGAAATAACGATGGAGAGAGTGAGTGAGTGAACGGATGAGCAGGGGGGAGAGGGGAGAAGCAGGCTCCCTGCTGCAGGGAGCCTGATGTGGGGCTCGATCCCAGGACCCTGGGATCATGACCTGAGCTGAAGGCAGATGCTTAACCCACTGAGCCACCCAGGCACCCCCCTCTAGGTTCATTATTAATAACAGGGGACCTTTCAATAGTGACTTATAGATCAGAGAACTTTCACACATAGTTTATCTGTTTATTGGAGTAGTAGTCCCCACGCTTTAAAGTGTGTAGCAATCCAACGATGTGCTTGTTAAAACTGCAGATTCCCCGGCTCTAACTTACAGAATCTGATTCAGTAGATCTGGGTGTGGGCCTAGGACTCTGCGTTGTCACAGTCACTTGCAAAAATGTTATATTGCTTAGATCTGGAAAAGATGAAGAGGTGAGTAAACAGACCTAGAAATTAAATAAGAAGTAGGGATTGCACTTGTAAAAATATGTCAAATGCTTATTTGTCTCTGTTCGTATTTAATGATATTTTAGGTATCTTAACCCCCTTCTTATAGGATCTTTTTTTTTTTTTTTAAGATTTTATTTATTTGACAGAGAGAGACACAGCGAGAGAGGCAACACAAGCAGGGGGAGTGGGAGAGGGAGAAGCAGGCTTCCCACTGAGCAGGGAGCCCGATGCGGGGCTCGATCCCAGGACCCTGGGATCATGACCTGAACTGAAGGCAGACGCTTAACGACTGAGCCACCCAGGCACCCCTCGGATATCTCTGAATACAAGCATTCTTTTACTGCACACATGAAGCCATACCTAGCCAGTCTCCAAATGTTACTGGGTGTTTGTTTTTCTATAATATTTCTGTCATCACCACTCCTTCCTTCTGCTCCCATTACGCTGTTATCCCCTTAGTTCAGGCCTCACGATTTTGTACCTGGGTCTATCAGTTAGCTTTTGCTGGGTAATAACACACCACCTCAAAACATAGTGGCTTAAAACAACCACCATGTATTTAGTCTGTCATTCTGTGGCTCAGTAATTTGGACCTGGGCTCAGGAGCAGCTCTGCTAGTCATGCCTGAGCTCACCCATGCATCTGTGGGCAGTTGGGACAGCAGCTCCACATGACCCCTCGTCACCAGCCAACTCGCCCGGGCTTGTCCACAGGGGGGCAGGACAGTTCCAAGTGCAGTGAGAGGGCAAGCCCTGTGTGGATGAGCATTTTCCAAACCTCTACCCACCCAGACCCAGCGGGTGGGGGAATAAAGTGACTGTTAATGGAGGTGCTGCCGTGTCATCACAAGGGCACGAGCAGAGGGAGAGCGATTTGTGCTCATTTTCACAGTCTCCTGAATGATCACATCTCCTGCCTTGCAAGCTTTTCTGGCTGTGGGCTTTGCTGCTACAAAGCATCCTGTTTCCTGCTGCCACGTTCATTTTCCATAAGCACTGCTTTCATATTATGTGCCTGTTCATAAGCCCCCAGAGCCTTCGTCTTTCCCCCTCCTTATTAGCTGTAAACTCTTCTGCCTAGCTTTCCAAGGTCTCCTTAGAGTAGCTGGACCCAAAAAGCAGAGCGTACAATACAAGAGAGAAAGAACTAGCAGCAGTCAGGGGAGGCCGGGACACTAGTCCAGCCCGGCCACAGACTAGCTCTTCACTTCTCTTTCTCCATTTATGAAATGACGGAATTTGGATTTAAATCTGAGAGGTTTTCTTTCAGATTTCAGATTTCTGCTGAGTACCTAGACAAACTTAATTCCTCTTACTCCTTAAATAAACCTTCCACTGCAGTAAAACCCAGCTTATTAGTTTCCTACTGAACATCCAGCTTACATAGCTCTTTGTGCTTTCATTCCCCAGGTTTTCTCCATGGGTAACTGCCTTTTGCTTTCTTGACCGCTTGTTTTCAGTTGTGCCCAGCCCTTGTCTCTGTTCATCTCTGCCATCCAGTTTGGCACTTAATGACATTATCTCTCATATTGTTCTGTCTTTCCATTATTAGTCTTACCAGCTAGACTGTAAACTCATTGAAGGAAGAGACTATATTTTATACATCAACTAAACACATAGTAGCTATCAAGCAAATATTTGTAGATTAATCCTCAGTTTCTATCCCACATCATAGAAAATTGGAACTAGCTGATAACTTTTTTTTTTAAGATTTTATTTATTTATTTGAGAGAGATAGAAACAGCATGAGTTGGGGGGGTGGGCAGAAGGAGAGAGAGAATCCCAAGCAGATTCTGTGCTGAGCGATCACAAGACCCTGAGCTCACGACCTGAGCTAAAACCAAGAGTCGGACGCTTAACCGACTGTGCCACCCAGGCGCCCCAGGCTGAGAACTTTTAAAACCAGTAGGAGGATAAGACTGCTTGAACAGAGGTGGTGATGATGAGGGTGGGGGTGGGGGATTGGAGAAGTGAGCATGTTTGTTAAATGTATCCAAGGTAATATATACTTACTGGGCTGGTTAGTTGATAGACTGTATCAGCAAAATTGGTTTGCAGGCCTTTCCTCCAGCCATCCTGTGACTCTGCTTCTCACCCCTGTTTCCTGCAGTCGTTATCCTTTTCTTCCGTACACTGTCACCATGACCCTGACAAAAGGTTCCTTCACCTACTCCAGTGGGGAAGAATATCGAGGCGAGTGGAAGGAAGGTGAGAGAACCACCCCCCGACCGGGGAGCATTTGGCTATAGGACAAATACATCAGGCTATAGAATTCAACTGGATGAGTCTTCATGTCTAATTCTAGGATTTAATCTGAATAGTAATAGTGCCTTTCCTTTTCTTTGATTTTAGGATTAAATAAAGGAATTAGAAAATGCCATTGGTTGCCCAATCTCCAGCAATGAGTTAAATCTGCTTCAGAATATGAAGTGTCTTAACATCTTCTTATCCTTTTGTGTTATTATTTGGGAATTGCTTTTTATAAATACTCATGTACCAGGCAGAGTAAAATGAATTATTTTGAGTGCCTACAAACTGAAAAGTACAGAATTCATTGCAATGACTTGGTTCCAATGAATTTAAAAAGTTAAGGAAGATCTGGAAATTAGGACAGATAGATACTCAAGAGCAAATGACAGTCATTGCCTTGAATTTCCTGTGACAGCTCATTGCATTTGGAAGTATCTAGTCACAGGATTGGTGAAATTCTTCAGAGCCTGAGAAACACAGTCTGACCACTTAAAAGCCTCGTGGGGCCAATCCTAGCAAGCCACAAACTGCCCCAAGGCGCCTTGACTTCCTACCATTGTGCCAGTGAAGAGAAGTTTAGACCATTTCGACATTCACCCCATTCTTTTCATGTTAGATCCCTACAGCTCATGAATTATTGAGCCCTGAGAGGAGAAACTGGGCAGATGGGATGTGACCTTGCTCAGTACCTCCCCTGCCTTTCTCCTGCCTCCCCAACACCTGCTGTCCCTTCAAATCTGGCCAGTTAGAGGTGCCATTCTGCCAGGCGGTCTCTATCCCCGGGAAGAACTCCCTCATACTCTGTTAGAAAGACATGATTGCTCCTCCCGCGTCTTGCTGTTTTCTGGTCAGTTCGACGGGTAAGCACAGCCCTACTGATGGAACAAAGCCCGAATCAGTGTTGCCAGGCAGCCTGGTAGGTTTGCTCCCTAGCTGCACAGTTCCATGTGGCACTGTTTTCTCGCAGAGAGGCAACGGAAGTAAGTGGTGAGGGCTCTCCGGCCAGGATGCCTGCTGCGTTTTTCATTCTTGCTCTGCCACTCAACAGTGGTTGTTAGTGATTTAGCTTCTCCTAGCCTTGCTTTCTGCATCTGTGAAACGGGAATAATAATAGTACCGTGCCTACCTCTTAACGTCGTGAGGATTAGATAGGATGATCAGTACAAAGTGCTCAGAAGAGTGCCTGACACATAGTGAGGGCGCTCTGGTAGCTAGTGTTACTTTTCAGCGCTCTCTTCTTCATACCGACAGAGACCTGCTCCACAGCTGATGCTTGTGACAGGTGGAAAGGTCCCAGGAGCCGGGTTTTCCTGGTGCCTGACTCTGGGTAGTAGTTCTCTGCCCAGCTGACATCACTGCTTCTCTTCTTTGCTTTGCGCGTCGGGTGACGAAAGACAAGGGATGTTAGGCAGCGAGGGGGTCCCTGAAGCTGCCCCATCGCAACCTGACAACTGTCTCTTTGCTCAGGCCGCAGACATGGTTTTGGTCAACTGATGTTTGCAGATGGTGGCATCTACCTGGGTCATTTTGAGAATGGGCTCTTTAATGGCTTCGGGGTACTGACCTTCTCCGATGGCTCAAGGTAAGTCCTGGGTCATTCCTTTCTCAGCTTTGATAGTGATAAATAGCTGGTCAGACCTGAGCTTGGCCCAGGCCCTCTGAAAACAGGCAAGAAGTAAGCAGTTCTTTTATTAGTTACTTTATAAGTAGATCTAAAATTTGAAATGGCAAGGAGCCGAGTGACCTTCCACCCGACTGCCATTCTCTTGTGTCACCTCCTTGAGATTAGAGCCCCGTATCACACATGCTCTCTGGCCCTCCTCTGCCGGTTGGGAGTGGGTGGGTGGGGGCAGGGATTCTGACACAAGCAGAATGCGCTCAGCTCCTTGGTGTTAATAAGTAACGCTCACTGGTAGCTGCTTCACAGTGAACCTCCGTAGCTCACTGCCCACCCTGCCGCTCCCATCTCATGTTTCTGCAGGTATGAGGGGGAGTTCGCCCAGGGCAAGTTTAACGGCGTCGGAGTCTTCATTCGACATGACAACATGACATTTGAAGGGGAATTTAAAAATGGCAGAGTAGACGGTTTTGGTAAGTCACAGCCCCGCAGGACAGGCGACCGAGGGGAGCCTACTGGGGGGGAATACACCTCGTTAGCTTGGATGCTCTCGGGGATGTCTACCAATCCCTAGCGACCGGGCCCTGACGCCGGTCTGTCGAACTTGCCCGTCCAGTGCTCCCGCTCTCAGGAGTAAGAGCTGCAGGTTTTCCTTCCTGCCGCCCCGTGGTACCTGGCTGCTTTCTGAGTCACGCACGCCCTTGTCAGTCCCCTATTTCCTCTGCTCCCCTCAAAGGCCTGCTGACCTTCCCTGATGGTTCTCACGGAATACCCCGCAACGAAGGGCTGTTTGAGAACAACAAGCTGCTGCGGCGTGAGAAGTGCTCCGCAGTCGTGCAGCGGGCCCAGAGCGCCTCCAAGTCGGCCAGAAGTCTCACCGCCTGAAGGCCGTCGGGCACCCGCTCCCAAGCACGGGCCAAAGTGCAGGCCCCGTGGCGCCCTCGAGGCGAATCCATGAACCAGATGGGAGAGGAGATGAGAATGCCCACGGAGCAGAGGCCTGGAGACAGGCCCCCTCACCTGCCCGGTGGGGATTCAGTGACGAAGGTCGTGAGGATTCTGACCCCCGGCCCACAGCAGGGTCACCAGTTCCGTCTCTGCCTCTCCCTGGTTGGTATTCTTTGTCCCTAACGCCTCGGGTCGCCCAGTGCAGACCTGCTTCTACTCGATTTCCTGCCAACGGAGGCAGGATCTCTTCATTCTGCCTGTACTGGGGGCAGATGATCCTGGCCCCAGGTTAGGGCTAGTGCTTTGTGCTACCCTGGAGAAACAGGGAGAAACACAGGGGTGGCTTAGACAGCTCTGCAGGCCTGTGAAAGTCAAAGCCAGAGCGTTTCCGTGTGTCACCCCCTCATTGGCTGCTGGTTGGCTTCATGGCTCCGGGCCTTCCACTTTGTCTCCCCAAGCTGGTATTTGTGTCTGCTTGTCCCCCTGTGAAGGGTACGGTAAGAGTGCGATTTCCCTCTCCCCTGACTCTACAAGCGGTCTTCCTTACCTGAGGTCCAGCAGCTAATTTTTGCCCCATTTGTGCCTCTTTCCTTCCTTAGACACAGGACAGGATCCCTTTTGGGGCTAGTCAAGAAACTGATACAAGGAGTCATCTCATAACGTGTATTTGTTACTTACTCCGGGGCAGAGGACAAACATCTCTGGGCCACTTAAGGCCCTACCATGGAGTGACTGAATTCTTAGGGGTGGGTTGGGCTGACACAGCCCCTTCCCAGCGGACCTGGAGGTCAGACCCACCTCAACCCCTTGGAGCTTGGGGAGAATTGGACCCATCCTAGGACCGAAGTGAACCAAAAGAGAGTTTGGCTCCTTACATTTGGTTTCCTGTTAACTCTTCCACCACGAGCTTGGCCTTCAGGCCTGGGGGTCAGATCTGGATGGATAGGATCCCTGCGTAGTTCATCACGGAGGCCTCCGGTTATCCCAGAACCCAGACATGCCCACTCCACTCCCAGCCCCTTATCCTCACACTGAATGTCTCCTCAACAGCAGATTGTGGTGGAAATTATAGCCGTGTGCCTCTATTTATTCTCTGAGTTGTACTGTAGAAACAAGTGTTTATGAGGAATAAACAAATCACCAGAACTGCCTGTACTTCGTTTCTTGACTCTTGCTCTGCATCCTCCTCATGGATCAACCCATTTGCTGTTTCTAAAAGTTCATCACAGATGGGGGCTTGGAACTGACACTGCACACTTTACTATGTAGTACCTAATTCTCAAAACCTCTGCAAGGCAGGAGCTTTTTTTTTCCTTTTAAATCAGACAGGCTCAGGTTGCCCAAACTAGGAAGTGGCAGAGCTGGGTGGGATTTGTATCCTGGTTTTTCTGATTCCAAATCACTTGCCACTGTACTTCTTTTGTCCTGAGCGTCCAGAGTGCCCACATCCTGAGACCAGTTATTGTCACACCTCCTAGGTAACCTTGGGCAAGTCAACTCCTGCCTGGGTTTCCCTTTTTCTGCAACAGTACCTCCCCAACTGAGCTAATGTGCAGTGTTCACCTGCCACGCTAACCCCTTCACATGTGTGATCTTATGGAACCCTGAGAGAAAGGAACTGTTACTATCCCCAAATTACAGATCGGATCAGGCACTTAAGTAGTTGCCCAAGGTCCCATCGACCCTAAGGGGCAGATCTAAGAACTTAAACCCAGGCCTGCTTAATTTAAGCCCAGAGGCTGAGTGCTTTACCAGTACACTGACCAGCCTCCCGAGCCCTAAATTCTGCCCCATAACTAAGCTGGATTCTCCTCTGAGCCAAGATCTTCTGGACGTTGCCTTGTGAGAAGAGCCCAGGTGCTAAGCCCCAAGCTTCAGTACCATCCAGATGGCCAATTTCGGTTGAAGATTGATACCTTTTATAGTCTCTTCTCTAGGCTGTGTCCTAAACAAGGATCTGTTTACCTTTCTTTTTAGCCAGAGTAATTTTTAAAACATTCATCTTGAATGTTTTAAAATACTTGACTAGTGGCAGTGGTTTACTGCCACTAGTCAAGTATCACTGAGTAAGGTTAAACATTTTTTGAGAAAGCAGCCCTTTTGGTTAATGTGCTAAAGTGTTTCTAAATATCTCAGTTGAATCTTTTTGCCTTCTACCTCCCATTCAGAACTTCAATAAGCCTTTCCCCTAGGCCACCACTGATCTAATACCTCGTTTGCTGTGGACTCTTAGGGCCTCTCTCAGAGCTGGGAGAAAGCAGACCTTGAAGGTTAAATTGCCTCTAGGAAGGTTCTTGACATCTAGGCAGGAAACCTGAGACCTACATGGCAGTGAGGTATCAATTTGTACATGGCCACACTGTTTTCACTTATTCAGCTTTATTGCAAGAACAAAGTATTATTTTTAACAATGAAAGCACAGTGCCTAAGGCAAGAGGATGGCCAGGTCTTAGACCAAGTCTCCTTCCCTAATGTCTCAGACCTAGGTTGGCTAGAAGTCTCCTTGAATGTAACATTTATCCACCAGGGGTCATTATTTACCAACTCTGGCAAGCCCCTGGATCGGCTCTGTGCTCTCTACGGTTGAGATCAAGGCTAGAGATGAGAATATGAGATAATCAAAATGGATTTAGGAAAGGGCACTGTGTCTGGAATGCAGCTTGGGGGCCTTTCAAAGGCCAGTGACACTTCTGATTAGGTTTCCGAACCCACTGCTTTCCCTGGAAGGAGTCAGGTTCTTAGGAATAGCTCTGGCTCCCCGCTGTACTGTGCTGGGCTCAGGTGTGTACCCCCAAGTCTAAGTGGCCGTCCCATCAGTAAAATACATGACCTTACTTGTGCCCAGTAGCCCCCTGCTCTTGCCCTCTAGCTCCTGGTCACGTCCCAGGGCACAGGAAGGCACAGTAGAAGGACAAGCAATTGCTCCTTCCCAGACTGAAGGTCTCTAGAGAACAGTTTAGGATACAAATGCCAGCAGTCATGGGGCTGTGAGAATAGGAAATGGGGATGCATGGCAGAGCCTGGGAGAGGCTACCTGGAGGACCGAAGTAGGGAAACAGGCTTTGAAGCCTCGTACCCCCATGTGCCTCTTCGACTGCAGGTACAAGGCAGGAAGCTGAGATGGGCTCGGGTCCTCTCCTTGCCCTCAGAGCCAGCCATTACTGCTGAAATCCGTACGCAGCTCCTCCTCGTCCGTGGGGCTCAGCTCCTGCAAGGGGGCTCGGCAGGGGCCTCCATAGTAGCCAAACCAGTCCATGGTCTTCTTCAGCCCGGGGATCCCAAAGCGCCGGGTCACCTGTGAAGCAGGGCCTGTTAGAAGAAACTGGGGAACCCCTGCATACACATGTCTGGGACACAGGTGTCACTTTCAGAAAGTTAAGGTTCCTCCCCGCCTCCCCTGGTACAGTAACTTTACCACATCGGTGACACCACGGTCAATTGGAAATTCAGACTGAGAGACCAGAAGGCAGGTCAGCAGTAGAGAACATGATGCCAACAACTCAGATTAAGGAAGGAAGTCACCTCCTTGGGTCTTAGGAAAAAAATCCACCCCATTGGGGAAAAAAGCAGCATTCAGTCATCAAGCTGGGATGGGAGAAGATAGCAATGCTGTGGGTCTGCAGCCCAGTTCCCAGGGACCTAGGGCCAGGGCACAGCAGGCCTGGGAAGCCAGGCAGGGGAAGGGTCTATGAGAGCCTCAGGCATAGCCCAGACCTCAACTGGCCCTGCAGGATGGACCCTGACCCACTCATAGCTCCTCCCTGACCCCAACTCTGAAAAACAATGCATCAGCTGTCCTGAGAAGTTCCACTGTGTAACCTTGTATCATGAGCGTTTTCTTGTCTAAAAAATGAGGGGACTGGATGACATGATATCTAAAGTGTCTTCCATTGTAAGGGGGGACCTAAAGCTATTGTGATAACTTAAAATCATGCATGGGGTCTTACAGAAAATGAAGCATCAAGTTTCTTTGCCTTCGGCATAGCAACTGGTTATTTCATGCTGATCAGAAGTGTTAGATGAATCTTTGACTACCTAAAAACTAGGAATGTAATCATTACTTAATAATGTTTTATTTGGAGGGAAGGTAAAACCTTAGAAGTATGGGCTTCATGAAGGGTAAAATAATAAAAGAGGTTGGTTGCGAGCCACTGATGAATGATTGACGACTAACTGTTTACCACTAGTGGCCGGGGAATTTTTTCTTGGAATGAGTGATACGCCATCCTCCTCCCAGGCCTGGCCCCAGCCATGATGTTCTAATAACCTGGGCTTTTCACCCAAAACCTGAGTGGGGTATGAAAGACCTAGGGGAGAGGATGGGAACAAGAAGTACCTAGAGAAAAGCCGCCTTCCACCTTAGGTGTGTGAGATCTCTGAGTTGCCCCCTCCCCAGACCCACAGAAATAATTGAATGCTTTTTGTGGTAAAGAACACAGAAAGTCCTAAATATAGCCAGGGCAGGAGGCCAGCTAGGTCGGAAGGCAGAGGAAGGACACTGTGTTCGAGCAGGGCAGGGCAATAGGGTGACATCAAGCTGCTCCTGGGGTGGCTGAGCTGACAGCCCAGGCAGCAGAAAGGTGTTCCAGGCATTCCTGAATGTGTGCCCGGAGTTGGCACACAAGAAGGCACCGAGTGAAGAGTAAGGCAGGATGGCATGCAGAGAGCTAGCATGGCAGCAAGCATCCTCTCCTCCCAAGGGGCAGCCCACGGCTTCATCTGTAAAATGAGGAGATGACAATACCTACCCCGTGTCACAAGAATCAAATGAAAAATACCACTGTAAGACCAGACCCCAAGAGACCTAAAAGCTGCTCCTTTTCCTGTCCTGGTGGTATGCTGGTTCTGGACCCTTCTCTCTGCAAGTGGGTGGGCAAAGAGAGCAGAGGTCCCACCCCGGTGGAGTGTCCGGTACATACCGGACAGTCTGTGCTCTGATGGGGCTCAGCTGAATGGCCCTCATTTCTGCAGTTCTTGCATCGTATTAATAGGGCATCCTATCCCAGGAGAACCTTCACATCCAGAGGGACTCGTGCTTGCCTCCTCAGCTGTCCTTTCTCTAAAGCTGAGTTAATCTGCCCCTTGGAGGTAAAGATACAAGCTGTGAGGGAGATCTAGAGCCCACCACTTTACCCAAACAAAACATTACTGCTTAGCCTGGGACTATCACCTCAGATGCAAAATTTAAGGGGATGCCAAAAAAATCAGTCATCCAGGTAAGTGATATTTAGTGCCATATTTTTTTAAAAATCAAAATCAATGCAAAAAAAAAAAAAATCCATGATGAACAAAGTGTCAATGTTTTAAATAAAGACAGATCCGACAGGGGCTCCTGGGTGGCTCGGTCAGTTAAGCGTCTGACTTCGGCTCAGGTCATGGTCCCAGGGTCCTGGGATCGAGCCCCGCGTCAGGCTTCTCCCTCTCCCCCTGCTGCTCTCCCTGCTTGTGCTCTCTCTCTCTCTGTCAAATAAATAAATAAAATCTTAAAAAAAAAAAAGACAGGATCCAACAGAACCGTGCCTTGCCATATTGTGGCCCGAGGCAAAAGTAAATGTGTGCCCCTATAGCCATGTTCTGTGTATTTTTTATTGGTTCATTTTTGTTTTTCTAGGAGTAGATGCAGGAAAAAATTTTTTGATGAGGTTGTTTCTATTCAAGCCAGGGAAGTAAAATTATAATAAATTATGTTTTTAATGTAGATAGGATATTTAAAACTAAAAGAATGCTGTTTTAATATACCTACTTTTTAATTTTCTAATATATTTTTTCAAATAGTTTACTGTTCTATGGGGGGCAAAAATCACCATTTAGAAAAATACTGAGCCTGGCTGGCTCAGTTGGTGGAGCCTGCAACTCCTTTTTTTTTTCTTTTTTAAGATTTTATTTATTTATTTGACAGAGAGAGCACAAGCAGGCGGAGCGGCAGGCAGAGGAAGAGGGAGAAGCAGGCTCCCCACCAAGCAGGGAACCTGACCTCCCCACTGAGCAGGGAACCTGACAGGGGGCTAGAGCCCAGGACTCTGGGATCATGACCTGAGCTGAAGGCAGACGCTTAACCGCTTAACCGACTGAGCCACCCAGGCGCCCCAAGCCTGAACTCTTGATCTTGAGGTTGGAAAGAGAAAGAAAGGAAGGGAGGGAAGGAGGGGAAATACTTAGAGTTTCCACTTCCAGGAAGATGGAATGGATGTACTTTTCCCTATTCCTCCCAACAAATATAGCTAAAAATCCTTGGACATTATATAAAAACAAACATAAGGGGGCGCCTGGGTGGCTCAGTCGGTTAAGTGGCTGCGTTCAGCTCAGGTCATGATCCCAGAGTCCCAGAATCGAGCCCCACATGGGCTCCCCACTCAGTGGGGAGTCTGCTTCTCCCTCTGCCCTTCACCCTGCTTGTGCACGTTCTCTCTCTGTCTCAAATAAATAAATAAAATCTTAAAAAACAAACAAACAAACAAACCTAAGACTCTGAAAGGTCGAGATAAGGAAGACAAACTAGGGACCTCAGGACCCAAGGAACACAGGGGTGAGTTCCCTGGCCTCAACTTGAAGCTTAAGAAGCCAGCAACCTCAAAATGCCAATGGGTACAGATAATACAAGCCCCCAACAAAAGCCTGTTCACTCAAGCCAAGGACCAGGAAGAAGCAGCCTAGCAAAAATGGAAAACTTTAAGACAATCACCACTCTACTCCAGCCAGGCACCCCAGCAAAAACTGTGGCCCCATCCCCACCATCCCCACCCAGGCCAGCAAAGGTTGAATTGGGACCCAGAACTTCTACACCACCCCCACACTCTGGCAGTAAAGAGTGCCCTTCACCCGCAACAATGGATGGTCTCAGCAGAGGCCCAGTGAGGAAAATCAGAGCTTACACGTCACTGCCCACACCGAAGGAGGTCACCCCCCTCCAGACATATTTGTAATGTCAGTGGTGGCCACGTGGGAAGCAGTAAGGAGGCATTCCTACCCCTTCCAGTCAGGGAGGCGTCACTGGAGGTCAGGGGCAGAGCTGGAATTTAAAAAAATCCTCCCCAAAAGAAATCTCCAGGCCCAAATGATCTCACTGGAGAATTCTAAAAAACGGTTAAAAAATATTTAACACCAATTCTACACAGTCTCTTCCAGAAAATAGAAGAGGAGGGAATACTTCCCAGTCAACTGATGAAGCTATTATTATCCTAAGACCAAAATCAGATAAAGGCAGCACCAAAAAAGGGGGAAAGCTATATACCACTATCTCCTATGAATATAGACAGAAAAATCTTCAACTAAGTATTCGCAAATGGAACTCAGCAATATCGGAAAAGAGTTACACATCATGACTAAGTGGGATTTATTCCAGGGATGCAAGTCTAGTTCAATATTAGAAAACTATCCATATAACTCAGCATATTAGCAGGCTAAAGAGGAAAAAAAAAAATCACACGATCATATCAATCAAGGCAGAAAAGCATTTGACAAAATACCTTCTGCAATCCCACACAGACTTGATTACTATAGGTATATAATAAATCTTAAAACCAGGTAGACTAATTACTCCCACTTTGTTATTTTTTTCCAAAATTGTTTTAGCTAGTTTAATTCCTTTGCCTCTCCATATAAACTTTAGAATAATTTGGTGTGGTTTTGCAGATAGACACACAGATGATGGGAGCAACAGAGAATCCAGAAATAGACCCACACAAATATGCCCAACTGATTTTTGACAAAGGTGCAAAAGTAATTCAATGGAAGAAAGATCATCCCTTCAACAAATGGTGGGGGAGCACGTGGATATCCAGAAGCGAAAAAAAATGAACCTCCACCTAAGTCTCACACTTCATACAAAAATGCACTCAAAATGGGTCACTGACTTGTAAAACGTAAAACTAGGGGTGCCTGGGTGGCTCAGTCGTTAAGCGTCTGCCTTCGGCTCAGGTCATGATCCCAGGGTCCTGGGATCGAGCCCCACATCGGGCTCCCTGCTTGGCAGAGAGCCTGCTTCTCCCTCTCCCACTCCCCCTGCTTATGTTTCCTCTCTCACTGTCTCTCTCTCTGTCCAAAAAAAAAAAAAAAAAAACCTTAAAAAAATTTTTTTTTTAATTAAAAAAATGTAAAACTATAAAACTTTTAGGAAAAAAAATAGGAGAAAATCCTCACAATCTAGTGCCAGGAAAAGCCTTCTTCCACTTGACATTAAAAGCATAAATATAAATGAAAATATTGATGAATTGGACGTCATCAAAATTAAAAACTTTTGTTCTGCAAAAGACCTGTTCAGAGAATGACAAGACAAGCTATAGATGGGGAGAAAATATTTGCAAACTACATATCTCACAAAGGACTGGTATCTAAAAGATATAAAGAATTTCCAAAACTCAATGGTAGAAAGAAAAAAATCCAGGGCCCCTGGGTGGCTCAGTTGGTTAAGCAACCTTTGGCTCAGGTCATGATCCCAGAGTCCTGGGATTGAGCCCCGCATCGGGCTCCCTGCTCAGTGGGGAATCTGCTTCTCCCTCTGCCTGCCGCCCCCCTGCTTGTGTGTTCTCTCTCTCTGACAAATAAATAAATAAATTTTTTTTAAAAATCCAATTATAAAATAGGCAAGAGACATACACAGACATTTCATTTAAGAAGATATACAGATGGCAAATAAAAACATGAGAAGACGTCCAATAGCATTAGTCATCAGAGAAATGCAAGCTAAAACCACACTGAAATGTTTCTACACACCTATCGGAATGGCTAAAATAAAAAATAGTCACATATGCCTAAAGCTGGTGAGGAGGCAGAGAATGGGTCAGTCATACATTTACACTGATGGAAACGCAAAACGGCATAGCCACTCTGGAGAACAGTTGGGCAGTTTCTTAAAAAACTAAACATGCAGGGTGCCTGGGTGGCTCAGTTGGTTAAGCGACTGCCTTCGGCCCAGGTCATGGTCCTAGAGTCCCTGGATCGAGTCCCGCATCGGGCTCCCTGATGGCGAGGAGCCTGCTTCTCCCTCTGACCCTCCCCCCTCTCATGTACTCTCTCTCATTCTCGCTCTCTCAAATAAATAAATAAATCTTTAAAAAAAAAAACACAAAAAACTACACATGCAATCATCATATGACCCATGAATTATGTATTTATCCCAGAAAAATGAAAACTTACAGTCACGAAAAAACGTGTACATGAATGTTCAGAGCAGCTTCTCATAGCCCTGAACTGGAAATGACCCAGCTGTCCTCCCACCAGTGAATGGTTACACACAGTGTGGCCCGGCCACACCGTGAAACACTATTCATCAATAAAAAGAACGGGCTATTGCTGCATGCAACAGCTCGGATGAATGTGCACAGAATTCTGCAGAGTGAAAGCAAGCCAATTTCAAAGGTTAGAGACCCAATGATCCCCTTCATATAGCAGTCTTGAACTGACACAACTATAAAAATGGTGAATGGATGTGCAGTTGCCGGAGTTAAGGAGGCGGTGGGGGCAGGAGGTGAGTAGGTGTAGTCATGAAAGCATAACATGAAGGATCCTTCTGGTGATAAAAATACTCTGTACCTGGACTGTATCAAAGTCCAAATCCTGGTTGTGATATTGTACTGTAATTTTGTAGGATATTCCCATTGGGGGAAACTGGGGAATGGGTACATGGACTCTCTCTGTATTCTTTCTTTTTTTTTTTTTTAATTTTTATTTATTTATTTGAGAGAGAGAGAGAAAGAGAGAGCAAGAAGGCACACGCAGGGAGAGTGGCAGAAGCAGTCTCCCTGAGATCATGACCCAAGCCAAAGGCAGACGCTTAACCGGCTGAGCCACCCAAGTGCCCCTGGATTATTTTTTACAACTTCATCTGAACCTACAGTTATCTCAAAATTAAAAGTTTAATTTAAAATACACATACAAAGGTGTCTCTAAGAACACACATTTTCCTTCCTGCCTCAGACCCCAATATGGTTCTGCACAGCGCTGCTGGGCTCTTGACAGGCATTCCATCTCGGCTCTTCTCCTTGACTTGCCCAATACAGAATTGGGGTACACCGTCTGACTGCAGAGAAGATTATTGAAAGACAAAACTCTCCTGGGAAGTCTGGGCTCTGAATACATCCAACCTTCTAACTCCTCCTTTACTCCCTATCATTCTGTTCTCCGGGATCTGACTCATAAAGCTGATGGAAAGGCCCATGATTCACTCTCCCCAGGCAGTGCATCTCTAGGTAAGGTCCCGGGATTACTTATGTCACCACAATCAGCCAGGTTGTTTGTCTCAACGCTTATTCCTGGGTCTAGAGGATTAGAATTTTAACTGGCTCCCTAAGTGAATTCCAACACAACCAACAGGGCTCAACTTTGTCTGAAGTCGTGATTGGAGTTCCCACGCTGGGAGGTTCTCTAAAAGGATTTTCTGAAAGGGAAGAGGCTATGTGGGGACGCCTGTGCCTGCCCTGGCTCCTGCCCCAATGAGGACACAGACACCCCCCCCAACACACACACACACGCCTTGGGGTCATTGGCTGGGAGCTCACCGCAGTGTTTGGCTCAATGAGGCGGTGCTGCAGTTTCTGGGCATCTTCCCATTGCCCCGTGAGGCAGAGTCGCTCCAGCTGGCACACCTGAGCCCCCAGGACATTGGCCAGGGCACACACGCCCCCCACAGCTCCTGCCCCAGAGTAAGATGCAGAACATCAGCCAGAGCCTCTTCTCACAGGCAATTCCAAAGCCTGCGCCCCCGCACCTCTTATTCTGGGGAAAGAGGATGTGGATTTCGGTGCCACTGGTTGGTCATATCCAAGGCATGCTCTGTGAGTCCAGAGTACAGATTTCCAGAGAGAAAAGCTGCCAGCATATTTGAAGTAGAATTGCACAGGCTGAAGGTCAGGGAACAGAGCCTGAAGGCTAACTTAAGAACAGTTCCTCCCCTGCACCCCCCAACACACCTCCCAGAGTAAAGTCCCACCTGCCAGTTGACACCTCCACGATCCTCTAATAGCCCCCTGACTCATCAGTCCGGGAAGGGGGTGGAGTGGACGGGAAGACCTTGCTCTTCTGAAATCTTATCTCCCCGCCCCCCCGTGAATTTGGCCTGGGACGGCGCTGGGGGTGGGGGTGGGGGTGGGGGTGGAAAGAGCCCTGGACACAGTCGGGAGACCAGGCATTTCCTCCCACTGGCAGCGTGAACTTGCCCAAGTCCTAGACTTCCCGGTCCTCTCTGTTCTCATCTGGGCAATGAAAATGGGCTGGCTGTGATCTTGGGGGGCCTTGCCACTCTGCCAGCCTGTGATGTGATTCTAAGGCTAGTTAGGGGTGACCCTAAGCACCGTGGCCTCAAGACTGGAGAGTGGGAAATTTGGAATGAGCTAAAAAAGCTGCCATTTATGGATCCCCACTCTACGCCAGGCACTACGTGGACAACGTGGCCACATTCTCACACGTTCTCACAACACCCCCCTGCTTTACAGAGTAGAAGCTCAGGCCCAGCGAGGTTGAATACCCTGCCCGGCAGTAAGTACTACCCCCCCACCCCACCTCCAGAGCCTGTGCTCTTTCCATCTGCCCCTCCCTCGGGAACAAGGCTTCAGTGGGTCCCCTCTTCTGCCCTTGCACTTTAGAGACTGTGACGTGGCAGAGGAGAGATGTGCAAGGACCCAGGCAGCAAGCCGAAGTCTGTGGAGACCAGAGGCCAGGAACCAGCATTGTCCCCTCAGCACTGGACAAGTAACACAGATCTGGCCTTGCTGCGGCTCCAGCCGAAGGGAGCAGATGCTTCCCCTCTTCCCCGCTCCCGGGCTCAAATCCAACCTGAACCCAAGGAGCCCAACCCACAACAGACCGGCGTGGTTGGTTTAACGGTGAGGTTCCTAGGATCCTGGACTAGAACAGAATCAGGCAGCTGAAGATCCCTGGCCCAACCCTATAGATCTGACAGTTCCTTCTGGCCTGGCACCAGGGGGAGGCGAAAACAGACTCCTGGACCAGAGGAAAAGCCCCAAGGCCTCTATCCTCAGAGAATGATTTACAGGGTGAGATTAGAGGGGCTAAATTTGTCAACTAAGCAGGGAGCTCAGGACTTAGAACAAACTTCGGGCATCCCTGCTACAGCCCAAGGATTATACACAACCACCCTCTACTGCCCGGAAAGGTCACTCGGAAGCACCCAATTTTCAGACAAGCGAGCAGCGTTTTGGACTCCTGAGGTTTCCAAGCAGGCAGACTGGCAAAAGGACCCCACAGAAGGGGCCCCAGCCCTCGGCGAGGGGGGCCTGGCTGTACCACCCACGACAGTGTGAGTGCAGCAGGAGGCCTACCGACGGCGTAGCTGGCCAGCAGGAAGCCAGCCGATCCAGCCAACACCTGGAAATCCTGCCTCCGGGTCTTGTGAACCATCAGCCCCATCCTGGCCACCTGCAACAGCAAACCTGCGTGAGAACCGCGCCCAGAGCTTCAACACCAAGCGAGATGGGGGCTGGGCGGGGGATGAGCCCCCCTGCCCCAGAGAGCTAGCCCCAAAACTTGGACAAAGCCCCAGAGAGCCCGCACAACGGCAAGAACCCCGAGAGCAGCCCAGGACTGAAGCGGGTCCCAGAGCTGCCCCGAAGTTGATGGCCCAGGAGACGAGGAAGGAGCCCCAGCCAGGAGACGCTGCTACTCACATCACCGCCACTGTCCTTGATGCCCACGATGTTCGGGTGCTGGGAGAGCGTGACCACCGCATCCACGGGCAGGGCCAGGCCCGTGTTGGCTGGGACGCTGTAGAGCACCACAGGGACTGGGGAGAGGTCAGCGACCTGAGGGAGGCAGAGAAGAGAGGGGAGGTGGTGGGGCCCGAGGGGCGCGAGGCACTGCCCACCACCACCAGCTCCGGGCCTGGGGCCCTGGGGGCCACCTGGATATGCCCACCTCCTGCACTAGGAGTCACAGTGCCGTGTTCCCTGCTTGTAAGCGATAATAATAACATTTCATGAGCGCTTTCTATGTGCCAGGCTCAGCTCTAAGTCCTCTGCATTTCGATGGAACTCGGTCCTCACAAGGACCCCGTGAGGAAGACCGGGCCATTCCTCCCATCTGAGAGGCGAGAAAACAGCCACACAGCGTGTTTGGCCAACGGCCCAGCGGCAGCCCTCCCCGTCCCCACGGCTGCCATTCACGGGAAGGAGGCTCCCCCTCGGCCCCCAGCTGCTCTCTCTCTCCCCAGGCAGCCTCCTCTCAGTCCCAGGCCCCAACCCCATGCCCAGGCCCCACACCCACCTTGGTGTAGTGGTGAATGAGGGCAGCGCTGCTCATGCGGCCACGATAGTAGCAAGGGGTCACCACGATGGCGGCGTCTGCCCCAACCTGGGCCATGCTCACAGTCATCTCCACAGTGGCTTGCGTGGCTATAGGAGGAAAGAGGGAGTCTTCCCTATGGGCCGCGGCGCGCGAGAGCAGGAGGCCGAAGGGCTGGGCAAGCAAGGGGTTCAGAAGAGACAGAACCAGTAGGCTGAACCAGCCCCAGGGCCAAGGAGCCTGGCTCCCCACTCCCAGGCCCCCCAAGCACCCCCAGAGCCCAGAGCACTGTGGCCTCACACTCGCAGCCAGAGCCGGCTAGCAGGAGTTTGTCCTTGGGCATGGCCTGGCGGACGCGGCTCACCACCTCCAGCCGCTCGCTGCTGGTCAGGAAGGGGAACTCGCCATTGGAGCCCTGGACCACGAAGCCTGCAAGACAGGTCCCATCACAGCCAACGCCTTCCCATCCTCTACCAACAACCGGGATGTTGCCGTTACGCACACCCAGGTCCCTACCACCCCAACGCCATAGTTTTTCACACATTTCCTTCCCATCTTTGTCCTGATGCAGGCAGATGTTTTACCCAGTTGTGACGGCAGTGTCCACACCATTTTTCTTTGTGTTAATGAAATATTTTAGCTATACCCAAAAAACTCGATAATAGTAGAATCCACAGGTGTGTACCCAGCACCCACGGCAACCCTCCCCTGATCACCTTTTTCTTCCTCTTCTAGCTGTCCCGACTCGGGTGTCATTGTTCCCGTTCATGTCTTTATACCCTTAAGGCATACATATTGACCCATAAACAAGATAGAAGACGTTTTTTGCCATTTTAAGCTTTATAGGAATGGAATCAAGCTCATACAAGCATCTGTGGTTTGCTATTTTTGCTCAAGATTATGTTGTGAGCTTTGTCCCTAGCAGTACACAGTTCTGATTCATTTTAATTGCTATATTATATTCTGTTGTGAAGTTAGACTACAATTTACTTTTCATTCTCCTTTTGGGGACATTTAGAATGTTTCCTTAGTTTTGCTATTACAAATAATGCTGAAACAAACACATCCTATAAGGTCTTCTGTGCCCATGTCTGAGCTTCTCTACAGTCTACTTGGGCGTGTAATTGCTGAGCCACATCCATGTGCATCTTCACGTGCCAAACGTCTGCCTCATTAGCCAGTTTGTACCACATGGAAGGGCCTGTTAGTGTTCATCCATGCTATCGCTGGGTATTGTCAGAGTTAATTTTTGCCAATTTTCTGGGTGAAAAGTGACATCCCATTATTTTATTTTGCATTTTCCTGTTTGACCGATCATTTGAGAGGTTTCTAACACCACCAGATAAGGTGTCAACCCTTTTATATCACAGAATTGATGCTCTTTGGCTGAATCTGAAGGGAATGTTAGAGTAAAACCATTTTCCTCTCTGCTTCTTTCATTTCACTTTCTCTTTCCTCTTCTTCCTCCTCTCTACTCCATCCCATTCCAAAAACATTGTTCTGAAATAGTTGACAAATACAGCCTATGACACAACAAGATTATTAATAAATAGGAGACCTCTTGGGAGAAAGCAAAGAAGAGAAAGCTGGGGGGCAGGATACTGATATACAAAATCCCTGCCACGCAGTTGTGAGAGATGGGCCATCACTTTGGTTTGGAGCTTCCTGACAGTCAAAGCTAAAAGGGAAATGTGATCAGCTGACAGATACGCAGGACTCAAGATCAAAGCAAAGCAGCTGCCCCAGAAACACACAGAGTTTCCTGGCATTGGGACCAAGAGAGACTGTTCCAGTGAGTCATCCTTAGGGGACACAGTGTGATGGAGAGTCAACTTTTCAACACAAACCTTTTTCCATGCTGTTCACGACACCAGCAGATTCCACGGAGTGGATTGCCAGAATAGCTCACTGGATACTTAGCAGTCCCCCCCCCCCCACTTTTTTGCCTTGGTAACATTGCAGGGAGCATCTTGAGGCAAATAGTTTTTGGCTTCTGTTGTGTTGCCTCCTCAGGATCCATTTCTCCACGTCAGGCCAGGAGCCTCCTTCTGTCTTGTTCCAAAGGTGCTGGTCCTTGGCCAGTGTGAGTGCCCCCATGTGTGAGTCGCCAACCCCGGAGAGGATTGGACCAGCATCTTCTGCTGAGAGGTCAAAGATTCTGAGATGGAACTTTTGCCACTGCCTCTATGGAAATGCCTCCAAAGACATCTCCCTCCCTCCACAACCCTGGCTGCCACCACCACCCTGGGAGGGGGCCAGGCCCATTCCTGCACCAGCCACTTCTTCGGCCGTGTTCACTCATCCCCAAGACCCCCTTCGTTCTGGGGGCCAGTTCCAGGGGCTCCTGAGCAGCAGGGCAGCTGGGTCTTGCGCTCTCCGAGGGGAGGCAGGCCCCTGTGCTCAAGACTCCCGGTGGCCTCTCCCTTGTCTCAGAAAGGAGCATGTGACCCAGGCCGGAGGAAGGCAGGCCAGGCTGGGGAGGAGGGAATATCACAGAGTCGGGAAACAGTCGGACCCAGCTCCCCTTTTGAGCAAATTACATCATGTATCTGAGTCCCCATTTCCTCTTCTACGGGATGATAATAAAAACATTTCAATCCTACCTCATAAGGCTACTTTAAAGGCCCAAACAAGAAAATGTACAAGAAAGCACCTTGAAACCTGTGAACTGATGCTGCAAAGAACCCCCCCCCCTCTCCTGGGTGGGATGTCCAGTTTTAGGCCTGCTGTGCCTCCCCTGGTGTAGAGAGGGGACTAGAGCGGGGCGGGGGTGGGGGGGGCGCCAGGGCCCCGGACGGGTCAGGGAGTGAAGACAGCATGCGATGAAAGAGCAGGTGGGTAGAGTGGTCAGATGCGTCGGCTCTGAACTGAGAGGAGCCTGCGCGAAACTCGGCGCGGGCCCTTATCAGCTATGAGATCTTGGGCAAATGGCGTCACCAAGCCTCAGCTTCCTCACATGAAAAATGGGGATATTAGTGCCCTCCTTAAAGAGTTGTGAGGCTTAAATGAGATACTACTTATAAAGTGCTTAGATTAGAACCTAGCAGTGTTAGCTGTAATTATGACAGAGTCCGGAGAAAGTGCTCAAGCCTTAAATCAGGAGGGTGGCAGCTGTGGGAGGGGAGCCTGCTCTCAGGAACTTCTCCTCCCCGATCCAGCTGCAAGACAATGCGGCTCATCACAGAAGCTACTCTCCCTCATCCCCATGGTTATGCTGACTGCTCTGGGGAGCCAGAGTGGCTGGGGGAGAGGAGTGCGTCTTCAGGGCTGGGCATGCACAAGGAACATGGTGACTGATGTGGCCCAAAGGAATCACAGTCTCTCTTACTCTTATGCCCCTTGACCCATCATCCTTGCCACCTCCCCTCAGAAGTCTTCCCAGGATCCCTCCACCAGACATCTCTCCTCTGAACTTCCATCTCCTGTTCCTTGTCCTTCCCTGTGGCCTACCCAAAAATATACAGACGTTCTCCAGAACCCTTCCATCTCCCCCACCTCCACGTGCAGGATTAGGCAAAATTTCTCAAACTGGTCTCTGCTGTAAAATGAGGAAGTTGGACTGTATGCTCTTCTACGTCCTTCTGGGCTCTAAACTTCGGAGTCACGTTTCTGGCTTTTCCTGCTACCTTTCGCGCATCTCTAAATGTTCCCCTTCAGCCAAACTGTCAAGGTCCCCCAGACACAGTGTCACGACCCTGTCTCTACACCTTTGCGCATGCTGTTCCCTTCTGCCTGGACCACCTTCCTCCCTGAGCTGCAGCCCCGGAGAGCCTTTCTCACTCCCCCTGGCTTCTGCCCCTCCTGTTATTTTGTCCCCCTTGCACAGCACATGGCCCCACTTTGCCAAGAATCATCAAGATCACAGACATCCCCTCATGTTGGCCTCCTCCACGACACCCAGTATGAAGTATTTTAAATTTAAAGTGTATATATGCACACACACACACACACATTAACATTTATATAAAGTCACTTATTAGTAATTTTAAAAAATATTCAAATACTGGGGCGCCTGCCTGGCTCAGTCAGTGGAGCATGCGACTCTTGATCTCGGGGTTGTGAGTTCGGTCCCCACGTTGGGTGTATAGATTACTTAAAATCTTTACAATAGATAGATAGATAGATGAATTCAAATACATCCAATTATGCCCCATAAAATCAATCAACAACATTTAGGGTGTTTGTAGATTTATCCATCCTTTGGAAGGATTCTGGGCGCCTTCTTCTGGGAAGTTTGAGGCCCACAGGCTGGGAAACACTGGTAAGTTCATCACAGATGCCAATGGTACATTTCTATGTAAAGGAGCCACTGGGGGTTAGACAGTGTGGTGTAGCTGACTTCTCTCAACTTTCATGGGAGACAGAGCTGCCTCCCTTTAAGCCCCTTACTGGAGGTCCCCCCTTGCCCCAGAAACGGCTTCTTGGGACCCAGGAAGAGGAGGCAGGGGAAGTCCCACGCTTGAGGGAGGGCACAGAGAGTCAGGACATGTGGTAAGAGGGCAGAGGTAAGCATGAGAGAGGGAGCCCCCTGGAGGGCCACCTCTAGGGGGCAGCACAAGGCAGGGACTTGGGGTCTGAGCTTTGGAGTCGGCCAGAGCGGGGCTCTAACTCCACCACTTACTGTCGATGCCCTGTCAGGTGAATTACAGCTCTGAGCCTCAGGTGTCTCATCTGCAGAACGGAGGTAACGCAATACTGTCTCCATGGGACTGTGCTGTAACACTTAACATAGAACATGGCACATACTAAAAACTGAAAAGAAAAAAAAAAAGAGGGAGCTGCTGGTAGTACTAGTAATACCACTAATCCATAGTACCAGCAGCAGCCCGTAGTACTAGTAATACCACTCATCCGTAGTACCAGCAGCAGCCCCAGCCACGGTAACATAAACAGGAAGAGAGAGTATATGGCACAACAGCTCTGAAGGTAGGCGGGGGAGGCATTAATGGGGATCCCAGCGGCCCCGGAAAGCAGGTGGGGCAGGGAGAGAGCACTGCAGTGCAGGAGGCCACACGACTCGAGCAGCAGGAGATAGGGTGAAGATGACACCAAGAGGACAGGAGACCCACACCCCACCTTGCTTACTAGCTTCTGAAAGCCTGTCTCTCCCCCCACCTCTCAACACCTGGCCGCTTCCTCCTTCCCTGGCCAAGAGCGGGTTGGTGGGTGCTGAGCTCCCGGGAGACGTCCCATCCCCAGAACCTGAGACCTGGGGAAGCTGATTTGTGGAGTCTTGAATCAGCCCAGCAAAAAGCCCAAGCCAAGGGCCACACGAAGAGGACTGTGGGAGCGGAACCCTCTCCCCGCATCCCCGCCCAGTCCTGAGGCTGGCCACAGAGCCCCCCAGACTCAGAATGAGGGTATACAAGGCTTTATTGGCTCAGTTCCAGGCATCTGGCGTCAGTCTGGGGGCTCTCAGCTGCTCCCGGGATCTGCCTCACCGGGCTTCTCTCGGTGGGTCTTCAGGGGCCCGGGCGTGTGTCTCGGCTGCTTCCCTTCCTTCCACCTGCCCCTCCATCGGGAGCCATTCTCCGTGACAGACCCTACTCACAGACTTGAAGGGGCCCAGGAGCCCCGTGGGGGGCTGAGGAAGAAGGGTGTTGGGCGGCAGCCTCTCACCCTGGGCCACACGGGCTGCCCCACAGGAGAGAAAACAGGCCCACGCTTGTGTGCCAGCCTGTCGGGGGAAGGGGCGTCTCCGTCTGTGGTTAGGTGATGGCTTCAAAGGGGTGGTAGGTGTGGTGGCTGCGGTCGGGCAGGCTGTGGCTCGGGTGGCTCGGATGCCCCTGGTGGCCGTGGGGACCGTGGCCATGGAAGGTGTGTGTGTGGTTCATGCCGGCTACCGCGGTTTCTCGCTGAGTGAGGAAATTCCCCTTCAGCTTCAACTCCACCTCCTCGAGGCCCTTCAGCTCCTCCTGGTTGATGTCTTTGGACTCCAGGTGGCCTGAGTTCTGGTAAATCATGGCACGCTGCAACATGGAATGAGCCAGCTGCTGTCCCAGGTTGTCCATCTCCTTGGTACAGGTGGCTACAGCAGCCCAGGTGGCCGCATCCGTGGACGAGGATCTTCCAGACTCCCGCTGGGTCTCTCTGGTCAGCGAGGAGCCAGACAACCTCTGCTTGCTGGCGAAGGACTGCTGGTGCAGAGCTGCGCCCACCTCTCCTTGCCTGGTGGTGAAGGTCTCTGTGCGCACCGTGGTGCCGGCCGCCCCACGGCCACTCTCGGGGGCAGGGGGGGTGCTGCTGCTGGCGGCCAGCTTCTCTTCAGAAAGGCGGCTAAAGTGAGACTTAATCCAGTTCTCATTCTTTGCTTGGTGACCTTCGGGTGGCCCCTGCTCCTCCTGGGCAGGAGCAGGGGATGTCTTCCTTCTCCTCCTCCTCTGAATCCACAGCATGAGGCCTCCACCGCCCAGTAAGAGGGCAGCCCCCAGCACCACCTTGCATGATGGTTGCTGGATGAGCTCCAAGAAGGCCTCCAGGACCCTACGCCAGGCAGGCAGAGCTAAGAGCGCACTGGGAGTGGGGGAGCCCGGATGGTATGGTTCATCTTGAAGGGCAGGTTCCCCGAGGCTGTCTGGCTGGCAGGCCCCCAGCTGGACCCTTCCTAGGATGCCCCTCCCACCTCAGCAATGAACCCCATTGTGAGGAAGGTGGCTAGGGGGGCGGGGTGGGGAGAGGCCACAGCATCCCTCACGTCCAACCTGGCAGGCCGTTTCCTGAGGCCCAAGTCCCGTCTCCCACCCGGACAGCTGTCCCCGAGGTCAGTGGAAAAGCAGCTTCCCCAATTCTGAGTCCCTTCTGCCTTCTGCTTGTGACCCATTCTGCAACTCAATCCTTCTTTTCCAATCTTTGGTTTCTCTCCCTCTCCATCCAGTGGCCCCCAGGGGGCAGGTGCGCCGACCACGGCTGAAGGGGTCCTTCCATTCCAGGCATCCATTCCAGGCTGCCTGACGTCGGTGTCTCCTTTCATTCAGGGCCCACCCCTGCTGCCAGCTTGGCACATTTGCAGCCTCAACCCCTTTACAGAGCAGGGTCCAGAAGGAAAGGGGCCCGGGAAGGAGCTCATTCTAGAATAACATAAGGTCACAACTGAGAGGAGACAACAGTGGGCTGAGAAGGCAGAGCAGATAGGACAGGGGTCTTCAACAGATGCCAGATCCCAGAGGCCATTCCAGGATGGGGGCTGCTACCTCGTGCCTCAGTGACACACCTGCAAGCCCAGAATTCTCCCCCCTCCCCCTGAGCCCTGGTTAAATGGGCACAGTTTAGATGATGAGCAGGTGGGCCACCTGGCCAGGCTCTCTGTAGGTACAGACAGTGGAAAGCCTGGCCCACAATCCCAAATTATATCCAGAGCCTCTCAGGGTAGAAACAGGCCTGGGCCCCTCTATTTTTCTCCCAGAGGCATCTAACACATTTTTTTAAAACCACATTTCACTTTTTAAAAGTGAATGCTAGGGGCCCCTGGGTGGCTCAGATGGTTAAGCGTCTGCCTTTGGCTCAGGTCATGATCCCAGAGTCCTGGGATCGAGTCCCGCGTCGGGATCCCTGCTCCTTGGGAGCCCGCTTCTCCCTCTGCCTCTCTCTCTCTCTCATGAATAAATAAAATCTTTAAAAAATAAAAATAAAAAAAAATAAAAGTGAATGCCAAAGTAAATGCCAAAACAGGGTTGTAAAATATGTGATTTTTTTAAACAAAATATTTTTATTTAACAAAGTAATGGCTTTAATATACACAATAATATCTTTGTCTATGTACTAAGGGAATAAGATACAAGCTCAAAGTTTTATGGGGAACATCATCTCCCTAGTCCTGCTGAAGTAGCTCTGTGGTCGTCCACTAACCTCATTTGGAAATAACAACTCAAAGTTCATCTTCGAGGTTGTTTGTAGGAGTGAGCTCAGGGCCAAATGGCCCCTCTGCAACAGTTTTACCCTCCGGTCTCTAGTTATAACTTTCATTTAAAAATGATACTCTTTATACAAATAATCAGTAAAAATTAACAATTCAAAAATAAGAAATAAAGAGAGCTACACAGTTTCAGGCAATACCTTCCAGAAGAATCTCTAACCGTTCACTGATTCATTAAAGGCAGGTTCCCACCTCCCCTTTGGAGGCCTTTTAACTTATTGTAGGAGGCCCTGGCACTGTGGTATGTGAGGGCTTCCTCCTCTGCCCCCGAGTGTTGGGCAGCAAAGCCAAAGCCGGGGGCCAGGACAGGGCCAGAAAAACATTGTCTGTAGAGCAAAAGTTGCTCACGGCTCCTTTCCCGGGCATTCTGGCTAGGTCCTGGGAGCAGTGACAGGACCCTATGGCTCTATTCTTTATGTCAGGGCCTCACACTTGAGCTCCTTGGGAGGAATGCGTTCACCCTGTGGCTCAGTTCCATTCTAAAATGAGGAAGTCAGATTAGAGAGGTTCAGGGATTTCTCAAGGTCGCCATAACTGGCAGAACCAGGATTCTTACCCAGCCTTCTAACTCGGGATGCTGAGCTGTTTCTACTCAGCCCACTGCCTCCCTGGTGTGTGGGTAAGAGAGAGATGAGGCGGGAGCAGGACCCTGTGTGGGTCAGTGGGCGCCCGTGGCCCGTGGCCTGCCAAATCCACAGCAGCCTGTGATCCTGGGCACCCCCGTGTGCTCTGCAGGAGTGAATGAGCAGCTAGGAGGGAAGGAAAGGTCCAGAGAAGAGGCTGGGGGTGTCTGTGGATTCTCTGGGTGGCAGGCAGGCACTGGACACAGAGTTCACCCTCCCCACCCCCTGCACCAGGGTGTCATTGAACCTGGAGGGTGAAGCCGAGTCTTCCTTCCTTTTAAGATTCAAGGAGCAAGGGGCGCCTGGCTGGCTCAGTCAGTGGAGCATGCGGCTCTTGATCTTGCGGTCATGAGTTCAAACCCCATGCTGGGCATAGAGATTACATAAAAATTTTTTTTTTTAATAAATAAGAGATTCAAGGAGCTTCTCACTTTGCTTCAAGAGACGCAGGCCTCCGTGCAGACTCTCAGGCCCCAGCAAGCTGAGCCCGAAAAGAAATTTACTTAGAGTTTGTGTCACTGCTCACCATGGGCATCCACAGGGCATTCACTGAGCCCTAGCAAAGGGTCCCATCACCTCAACCCTGAGATGTGGATGGGGTTTGGTCAGGTCAGTAGTCACTGTCACAAAGCAGCTCTATGGACCTGTGGTCCTAGTGATTGTGACCACTGGATCCATAACTTCTAGGGTACATCACCCTTTTCTATTCACAGTGTGCTTTCATCTGCCCTCTCTTGGATTTCTCTCCCAGCCATTGTACGATGTGGGCATCATTACTCCCAGGTGTCAGATGGGGAGACTGAGGCTTAGAGAGATGATCTCACAGCTAGGTGGCAGAGTTGTGATCTGAATCCAGAGTCCATGTTCTCAACTGCTCTGCTGCCCCGCCTCGGTCAGAACCTCTCCACTCCCAGAGCTGGTGCCAACCAGACTTTATTTGTTGAAACAGTCTGGTCTAGCAGCTCAGCGGTTAGTGCTGTGGAGTGAAACCAAGCATAGCCCTGCAGTCAGACCTGGGTTCAAATCCCAGCTCAGCCATGTATTAGCAATGACCTTGGGCAAGCAACCGTGTCACTCTGAGCCCCAGCTCCCCGTCTGTGAAACGGGGCTAGTGAGATTACCGCCTCAGGGACTTGTTACGGGTGACAGACGAGGGTGGGCAGGATGGGAGGACCTGGCCACTTCTTCCCTTCATTTATTGTGCCTGTGGCTGTGCTGCATGTTGTCCGGTCCCTGACCTCAGCGAGGGGAGACCCACGTGTAAAGAGGAAATGAGTCAGAGGATCCAGGGGGGCTTGGCTCAGAAGAGCATGTGCAAACAAGGCTTGTAGGGAGATGAGCCCACTGGCTGGGTTGCCACGTGACGCCCCCAGCTGCCTTCACAACCGCACAGTGTTTAGCTGACAAGGACTTTCATACCCATTACCTAGGGCCTAAGAAGGCACTCTTGTAGTTTACAACTGGGGAAACCGAGGCAGGTGAGACTCAGTCAAGGTTGCACGCCAGCAAGGAGCTTCCTGCCTCCTGACCCCAGAGCAGTGCCCCCTGCTCCTCTCCCAGAATAAAACGACTCCTCCTGAGGTACCCAATGTCTCTGAGCAGCTCACTGGCTGAGGAGACTGGGGTCATTCACCTCTCCCCCGACTCCCCCAGAGGACAGACCCCACTTACCTCGGAAGGGGAAGGTACCCAATTTGTGCAGGTTCTCCTCCAGTTTCCCATAGTCCACCTCTGCCGTGGCAGTGAAGGGGGTGGTCACAGGGGGGTAGATGCCTGCAATGTCCACCTTCCTCCCCTCCCCTGAGGCCCAGCCCCCCACATTCCTGGACAAACCCCTGCTCAGCCCCTGCCTCACGGAGGACCAGACTCCACGGCCCAACATCTCTGCAAGAGGCCCGAGGCCCAGCTGGTCTCTGCCCCTGAGTGAGGCTGAGTCTGAACTCCTTCCTACCCTGTTAATGATCAGTGTGTCTAGTTAAAAATTTGCTGCCCCTGACTACTGGTGCTGGGGCAGGCCTGGGCTGAGAGTCCCCAGGGTCAGAGGCTAAGCCTATAGGCCCCATGGCCTCGCTCCCCTTAGGGGGCAGCTGGACAAATGCCACAACCGAGTGTCCCTCGGGCCAGGCGCGGGGGGCGGTCGGTTCCTGGAGCACCGACCCTACAGGGCTTCTCCAGTGGGGCCCGGGCCCTCCTCCCACAATTCCCGGCCCCAAAGCCCGGAAGGCAGGCCGCGGTTGGCGAAGCCGATTGGCTGAGCCGGCCCCGCCCCGCGGGAGGGAGGCGTGGTTGCTGAGCCGCCGCCCGGAACCGCCGCCCTGCGCCGGCGCCCCGCTGGCCCTGGTCCCGGGCCAGGTTCCCGCCGCGCGGGCGGGCTGCCGCGTGACGAGCCTGTGCTGGCCGCACACAGCCCTGTGGGACGGCGGTCACCAGGACGGGGGGAGGGGCAGGAGGGGTGCGCGGAGCAGCGGACCCACGCTGGGAATTTGGGAAGAGGGCTGGCGGGAAAGAAGCAAGAAGACACCTCGGTAGGAAAAGCCACAGGGCTGAGGCCAGAGGGCTCCAGGCTCCCCTCTTCCCTGAACCTACCCTGGCTCCGTTTTCCTTCACTCCTAAACATTTTAGACACAAATCGAAACAAACATCACCAATAGCAAAAACGACTTTTTTTATTGCAGTAGCTTGTGGGTGTCCCGGATCGTACGCAGAGGAATGGCAGGGTCCTCAGCTCTGGGGGCCGTTCTTAAGAGCCTCTGGCTGCATGCAGGGGACAGCCCGGGTGCCCAGCTGGCCTGGGGCAGGTGTTTAGTGGGCTGGCACAGGCTGGGGGGGCTCCTGCCCACTGTGGGCAGGACCCTCCAGCCCGTTCTGCTCTGTCCCTGGCTCGGGCTCAGGGTGCTCCAGAGCCTGCCGGGTGTCAGCTTGCCACAGCTGCACCAGGTCCGTGGGGGTCTTTCCTGCCTGGGGGAACCAAGCGGAGATCTGGTCACTGTTCAGGTTTGTACCAGGAGGTTCCCTCATCTAGACCAGGGGTTCCAACCAGGGGCAATTGGCAATGTTTAGAATGTTTGTGGTTGTCACAATCAGGTAAGTGGGAACTCCTGGCATTTGGTGAATAGAGGCCAAGGATACTGCTTTAACATCCTATAATGCACAGGACAGTTCCCTCACACCAATTATCCAGCCCAAAATGTCAATAATGTCCTGGTTGAGAAACCCCCACCCACTGCCTCCCCATATCTTCCTGACTTTCCCATTATCCCCTTAGTCTTTCTTGAGTCAGGGGGGCCCTCCCATTCCCCCTCTTTCGTGATTGCTCCAGACCCCAGAGAAGAGCTTGGACTAGGGGACGTAGGACCCTGAGAGAACTCCAGGCCCACACAGTGTGCTAGGGGCGGTCGTGCCAACCAAGCGCTCAGGTTCCTCCCAGCTGTGTTCCTCCATGTCCCTCCCTGGGCCTAGACATTAGGACCCCCTTTGATCTACTTGGGGGCCTTTGGGAAGTCCTCTTACTGTCCTTTCTGGCCCTTCCTCTGCACTTGCACTCTGGACAGAGATAAGCATAGAGAGAGCTGGGAAGGTGGGTGGGCCCCAAATTCCCAGGGGTCCAGAGAGACCCTCCACTGTGAGTGTGCTCTGAGGGCAGGCTGAGTCTTGCTCAGTTCTGTATTTCCTCTGAGTGCCTAGCACAGAGCCTGGGTGAGTGGTGCCCACTAATTACTGAATCAGGGAAGCAATGAACTTACTAGGTTCTTGGTCATCATGTCAGCCCCATGCAGGAGCAGCAGTTTGATGATTTTGTAGCGGTTGAGCCTCACAGCATCGTGCAGGGCACTGTCCCCTTCCTAGAGCCAATGTGACACTCAGTATGGCCCACGGGGGGCATATGGGAGCCCTCAGGCTTCCTGCACCCCCAGGATTGGCTGAGCAGAAGGGAAGCTGAACACTCACTCTGTCTTTGGCATTGATGTCCAGGCCCAGGGATAGAAAGTGCTGCACGATCTCCACGTGCCCTGTCCGGACTGCCACATGCAGGGGGGTACTCAGCAGCTGTGTGGGAAGGAAGCAGGAACTGCTGGCTGAAGGGGTCTGGACTGTGGTGCCCCTGGGAGGGAGGCTGTCCTAACTCCAGCCTAATCCCTTCCCCAAGTCCTAGTGCCAAGGCCTGAGCCCTGCAACGACTAGGAATGCTACAATTTCCACCATCCTATCCAATGGTCTACCTTGGAAGCATTAGGTGCCTCGTCCTCTGGGAGGCCTTCTATGGTTTCCTTCTCACCCAGCTGTTCACTCCTCTGCCCTTCTTTTAATAATTATAATAGATGCCATTTACTGAGAGGTAACTATGTGACAGGTATGGCAAAAGCTTATAAAACATCAGCCTTATGCTGAATAAATAATTTACATACACTGCCCCATCTAATTATATAAGAATTCTGTAAGACATGTGACAGATAAGCCACAGAGGCTCAGAGGCTGTCACTAGTTCAAGGTTACACACAAAGGCATGAATGAATAGAAAAATGGTGGACGAATAAACAAGCGAACAGATGAATAAATGAATGGATGGATGGATGGACAGATAGATAAAGGATGAAGAAGGATGGCACGGATGAACAAATCCCGCATCGTTTGGGTGATCCCAAAGCCCCCTAAATAGTGGATTTCTTCTCTTCCCCTCTCCTCTGTCCTTCCTGCTCCCATCCCCAGATGGTGGTCCCCAAGGACCTACAGGTGATGGCCCCTCCGTGGGCTCTGCAGCCCCTCTAGAAACCAGACCAGCTCACTATCCTCCTGCTTCCTGGGCTTTTCTGTTCTCTGCCCCTCGCCCTCCCTCCCCAACCACCTAATACCTATGAGCGTTATTGCCTCACCTTGTCCCTAATGTTGGTGTCTGCTCCTCGGCTTTGCAGGAGCTTTACCACCTCCAAGCGGCCCCCGCGGCAGGCCCAATGCATGGCTGTGCAGTCCAGCTGGAAGGGAAAGATGGGGCTGGAAGGGAGAAAATGCCCTGGGGGAAAGGACCCCGGCCAAGAGGGCAAGAGGAATCGAAGGAAAGGGGGCAGGGAAGGGGCAGGGGCATGCCTGTGCCTGGGCAATGGACCAAGCAGAGCAGGAGAACCCTTGGGTCCAAGCCAGGTTTACAGAGGATGGCCCCAGGCCATACAACCTACTGGAGGTGGGGCCTGGCCCCAGAGGAAGCCTGTTTGTCTTCCAGGTTGGCACAGGTTTGCAGGGAGAGGGGGTCTACTGGTGCTAGGCCCACCTCCTACCTCCCGCCCAATAGGTGTCTCTTGCTCACCCGATCCTGGAAGTCCACAGTGGCCCCACGGTCCAGAAGCTTCTCCAGGATCTCCATGTGACCTTCCAGGGAAGCTCGATGAAGTGCTGTCCGGTGGAACTGTCCCCAGAGAGACTGTCAGGGCCTGATCTCTGGCCTCAGGCTGAGGTCAGGCCTTACCCCATTTCGATTCTGAGCCTTGTGCTAGTAACCCATAGCTTCCATGTTTGGCAGCTCCTTCGTGTTCTATCCAGACCAGCCTTGGAGCTCGCTTATGCCCTGGGAACTCTGACCTTCTCACTGTGCCCCACCCCCAAGCACACCAAGCTAGGCCTTGACACGGGCTGTTCCCTCTGCCGGCAATGCCCATTTTTGCCCTTACTTTCTGAGTGCTTGATGAATTCTTGCTACTCCTTCAAGAGGCAGGGCAGCTCAAGTGCCATTATCTTGAAACCTCTAGGCCAGAGCTGCCCCCAGGGGACCCAGAGAAACAGTGAGAGGGGATTGGAAGGCAGGCCAAGTCTTACTAGACTCTGTTTCCCCTGAGTGCCTAGCCCAGGGCCAGAAGGGGCAGGTGCGCACCCATGACTGATTCAAGGAAGAATGAACTTTAGCATTTTGCTTTGGTCTCTTGAAACACTCAGGCCAGGAGGCATATCTTCCCACAGCCAAGATCTGGCTGTGTGCCAGTGTCCCTCTACTCTCAATTCTGGTCTTTCCTCTTTTGCACTCCCAGCACCTGGCACAGTGCTCAGAGGTGGGAGGTGTTTGGATAGACCGAGAGGACTGAGACTCCCGAGTCTCATGGAGCGGAAGGGCCATGTAGTCTAAGCCCACAATGATGCAGGCTGCAGAGGGTGACCATTAAGTTGCTTAATCCCGGGAGATGAGTGTGAAAGAGCGCTCTGCCAATGTGAAAGGCAGTTTCAGGGAAAACAGGAAAGTGTGAAGGGTGATGGAAACGTTTTGAAAATCGTGGTGATGGTTGCACAGCATGGTAAATATAATTAATGCCACTGAACTGTACACTTAGAATGACTAAAGTGGCATATTTCATGTTATATGTATTTAGCCACAATACAATAATAAGTTTTAAAAGGAAACGTATTATACAATGCGACACAAAAATAATATCATATCCTAGCATGTGCTTTATAGTTTTTTCCTTCAGTCAGTAAATACTAATCGAGGCATTAATATTCCATTTGATCCCCATGACGTGTTCTGAGGGAAGAAGGCCATTTTACAGAGGAAGAAACTGAGACACAGAGCTAGCTGCAGGTCACATGGTTAGGGAGTGATAGAGATGGGATTTGAGCCCCAAATTCTTGGTTTGGGCTCTTTTTTTACTTAATTCCATTCCTCTTTCTTCCCTAAAAGACCACATGACATTTGTTACTCTGGAGGTAGTTCAAGTTGAAAAGGGCCTAAGGATTTAGGTAAATTCCTGCATGGGCAAGGCGGCATCCCATATCTAAGGGCCCCCCTCCCAAAGGACACCCAATGCCTGTTCTCAAACAGGCCCACAAGTGGGCGGAGTGGGGGTGGCAACTCTGAAAGGGAGGCAGGCCCAGGTGCAAGTAGAACATCACCTGATCACAGGTGTCCGGGGAACCCCCATCGGCCAGGAACTTCTCAATGACCTTCATTTTCCCCTCCACGGCTGCTTTCAGGAATGTCTCCTCTTCCACAGGGCCAGTCTGGAAGGCATGAAACCAGTAATGGAAGACTGCCCTGCAGTGATCAGAGGCCCTCCTGGGCTCCCCATGCCCCCTGCCGACACAGGTGTCCTCCTCAAGACCCTTACGATCTCCTCGGGCTCTGGAGGTGGCTCCTGGGAGGCCATCAGTGCTTCCCGCTTCTTCTGCTTGCGTTTTTTCCGCAGCTTGATGAGGTTCTGGATCCCACCCACGTCGATGATCTCCCGCCGAAGATCTAGGGATGTCTTG